TGGTCCTTTGTGGGTTAGGTCAATATATTCAAAAGAGAGTGAGAGGAACGGGAGGGGACTCACTCAGGGATAAACAGGCCCCTGTTTTTTGTTTTTTATTTTTATTATTATTTTTTAATATTTTTAGTTGTAGATGGACACAATACCTTTATTTTATTTATTTATTTTTGAGTGGGGCTGAGGATCGAACCCAGGGCCTCATAAATGCACGACCAGCATACCAGCACTGAGCTACAACCTCAGCCCTATGCCCCTGGTTTTTTTTTTTTTAATGGGTTTGACATCTGCTTTCCTCCCCAGCCTGAAGATCCATCGCTTCGAGGTCCGAAACTCAGATCTGAGTCTACTTCCAGGGCTGGGAATCAGGGCTTCCCTGTCCAACAACGATCTGTCTTTGGGTGGGAACTGGAAGGTGAAAAAAGGATTCATGTGAGTAGCACTCCGGTAGGAATGTGGCTCAGCTCTGGGCAAAGGCACACCCTCCCTCCCTCCCTGGTTATTCAAAGTCGGGTCTATAAAGGACCCAGATCCAACAATCCTTAAGCGTTAGTTTCCTTATCTGGGAAATGGTCTCAGAGATGCCTTTGTTTAAATAAAACAACGGAGGTAAGGCATTTAGCTGTGTGCCTAGCACATAGCAAATCCTCAGTGACACTGTTTTTAAAGAGAAGTGGAGGCCCAGGCAGGAGGCACAGCTGGTTAGTGGGAACCTGGGAGACAAATCTGGGGCTGTGTCTTGGTTGCTCTTCTTGATGGTGACCCAGTTTATACAGCAGTTTACTTCTCATTTCCCCCAACCAGCAACCTGAAAGGCTCGTTTGATCTGAAGGTGGATGGCATTTCCATCTCAGTCTCTCTGAACTTGGGCAAGGACGAGACTGGACGACCCACTGCCTCCATACACCACTGCAGCAACTCCATTGGCCGTGTGAGCGTCCGCATTTCTGGAAGCTTAAAGTAAGTGACCTCAGCACACTGGCTAGAGATAGTGCTGCCACAGTAACATGCTCAACCTTCATTCAGCCCCTCTAACAGGCAGAAGAGCAAGATTTCAAGGGTCTTCAGGAGCAGGAGTCCGTGGGCCAAATTCAGCCTGCCACCTGTTTCTGTAAATAAGATGTTATGGAAACATAGCCACGACCGCTCATTTACATTTTGGTAGTGGCTGCCTTAGCTCTACAATAGTAAAGCTGGGTAGGAGCAACAGAGCCCACAGGACAGGCAAATGCCCCAACCATTTACCATCTGTCTCTTTAAGAAAACACATGCTGATTCCCAGGCAAGATGGTCTTCAGTGGGAACCCAGCACACCAACGAGATTTGCCCATGGGGGATACTCAGGGACACTGAATGAGTGGCAGTCTCCAGCACGACTGCTTTCCCAGTATTTGAGTTGTCACAGCATCACTCAGGTCCTGGCAGGAAAAAGAGGGCAACTCCACAGGCTTACCTGATAAGGGGACTGTCAATCAAAGAGTCGACTGAATGGTGGAAACCTACAAGGAGTGCTGCACCTGAGAGTGGTGACAGCAGGGGGCCAGTATCACCCTGGGTTGAAGGTCAGAGGAGAAGGGCGTTGCAGATCTAGAAGGAACTGGCGCCTTAGAGAAGGATACCCATGGAGGAACACGGCCACCACCAGGACATGGTGGGGCAGCAGAGCAACGGAAGCCCAGCAAGAGGGCTTGGGAGGTAAATCGGAAGGACAGAGCTGGACCTGGCAGGCAGCAGGGGCACACAGGGTAAAGAGACAAGCCCCTCTCTGCTAGAAGTTAATGTTCTGGGCGGCCACGTTGACAAGATCAAAATGCCCACCGAAGCGTGGAGACTTGCCATCCTGTGCTTGCAGGAGATTTGTGTTTTGGGAAGCAGAGATGGTTAGTTGTTCATTTACTCACTGATTAATGTTTTCTGCACAAATGCTTGGAGGCTTCAGCCGGAATCTGCCAAAGGAGATTGGTTGAGGCTGTAGCCCTCGAAGCACTGTTTTAACCAGGCGGTGGTTGCTATGACCAAACACCTGACAAGAACACTTAGGGGAGGAAGTATATTTGGGGCTGTCAGTTTTAGTGGTCTTCAGGCCGTGGTTGGCCACCTTCCTTGCTCTGGGCCTGAGGTGACAGGACATCATGGGGAAGGGACAGCAAAGGAAAGCTCAGCTCATGGCAACCAGAAAACAGGAAATGCAAGGCCAGAGACCAATTATAAACCCCAAGGCACGGCCCTAGTGACCTATTTCCACTTCCTATTTCCATTTCCAGCCACGCTCTGCCTGCCTAGAGTTATCTCCCAGTACTGTAAATAGTCCTTTCAAATTATTAATCCATCAGATGAATCAATCCACTGATCAGGTTATAACTCTCACAATCTGATCGTTTCCCTCCTGCATTGACACAGAGCTTTTTGGGTGGACATCTCATATCCAAACCCTCACAGGTGGACATAGTCCCCATTTCTCAGGAGCAAATTCATGAAATTCTATGCAGTTCACACACACACATAGTGTGGCCAGAAAAATCTTTCAGCTGTTTGGTTGTTGGTGGCTGCTACATGATTGGGGTTCTAGGGATTTAGACAGAGGAAACATGGTCTTGACCAAAACAGGAGAGTTTGTAGCTTTACCAACTCATTCATTTAACAAATACTTATTGATTCCCTTATTATTTACCAGATCCTGATCTAACTGCAAGATCAGGATATATATAAGAGGAAGCAATAGACAGAGTCTCTACCCCAGTGTGGTATTAAACATTTTAGTATGTAATGAACTACACTTGATATAATTATGATGACATGCTCATAAGGAGAGACCAGGTGCTCTGAATGCAGAAGGACTGGCCTAGCTTATGCATAGAGACAATTTCCTGGAAGACAGGATATCAGAAATGAGCCTGGAATTTAAGCAAAATGGGAAGGGGAGGAGAGAGCTTTACTGGCATAAAGAGAAGCACGTGCAAAGATCCTGAGGCATGAAAATGCTGTGCTTTTCAGGAAGTAAAAAGAAGTCAGTGTACCTCAAAAGGATGGGGTGGGGGTTACCAGGAGAATTTAAAGGATTAGGCAGGAACAGGATTATGGATTTTCTCTTACGGGGCAGTGGCAAGCCATTGAAAGATTTTAAGAAGGCAGGGGGGTGATAAAATCAGATTTTTGCTGTAAAAGACAGCATCTTTAGGAGAGATCAGAGTGAGGCAGCACAAAGAGAAGGAGACAGGTTGCAGGCAGAGACAGTTGTCAAGGTGAGAGATGATGGGCCGCAGACAAGTGCTGACACTGGAAGTGGGAGAGGAGGTTGAACTTGGGCAGGAAGGCAGGGAAGGAGTCCAGGGTGACTTCACGGAGTCTGTGACCCATGGAAAAAACTCTTACTGCTTCAATATGTTGGCGCAGGTTGTAGGCCTACCCATGGGTGTAGAAGGTTTTACTGGAAGCAATACCCCAACCATAGCCATCAGGGACCCCAACCAGGGTGTCTACAGCAACAGCCAGACAGCTCAGGCCCATCCAGGGACCAAGGTTCAGGCAGGCTGTGGGTCCCAGGTTTGCTCCAGGGATAGAGCTCTGGAAAGTTTAGGATGCTTTCTATAGAACCCAGGAAGCACATGTATCTGGTTTTACTATTGTAATACACACCTCCCGCATCCGATCTGCACCTCACCAGTCATCAGCCAGCAGGAACCGAATGGCAAAGGAAACTTCACGAGAGAGAAAAGATTGCCAGAGTAAGTCAAGTAACTTAGTCCCCGTGTTTCCAACAACCTTTCACCCTCGACTGCAGTCTTTGGAAGAACACAGTGTGGGAACCCTGTCCCGGTCCTCACTTCTGCCAGGGGGGTGTCTGTGGTCGGAGGGAGCTCTGCAGGTGACTTTATCTGCAGTGGCTTCAACTCGTCGGATCTCCATGAAATTAACAAGTAACTAAACTAAACTGTTGAACTGCTGGAGGAAAAAAAAATTGTTTGGCAGGCTTGGGGAGGTATAAAGAATAGGCTTTACCCCCACCTTACGCTTTAAATTTTTTCAAATGTTTTTAATAGATGATTTATCAAAATTCAAGATGTGCAAAAGGGTACAGGGTGGGGAAATCTCTCTCCACTTTAGTTCCCTGCCCATCAATTCTCCTTGCTAGCAGCAACCAAGGCTGAGCGTCCCAGGTGTGAGTCCTGAAATTCTCTGACTGCCCAGGTGGGTATTTAGTCTTTTAGTTTTTACACAGAGAGGAGCGTGCTGTATACAATCTCACATCCCTAGCTTTTCTTCACTTTGCGTGTATTTGGAAATCCTTCCTCATCAGAAAGCAAGTTTCCTTTTCAAACTAATCTATTACAAGAAGATTCTACAATGTCTTAGCAGTCATCTGTTGATAAACTGGGGCTGGAGGTGTCACTTAGCGGTAGAGCACTTGCCCAGTATGCCCGAGGCCCTGAGTTTTGTCCCCAGCACCAAAATCAAAATAAAAGAGGCAGGAATGAACTTGAGTGGTTCCCATGGAAGCCAGGGGATAGAGTCGTAGCTCTGACTGGATCCAGGTGTTTGACCAGCATCACTGGGAATTTCTGGCTCCTGGTTCTGCTTTTTTCTCTATTGGTTTCATTCTGAGGCAGGGTCCCCCACCCTAGAGTGGAAATGATGGTCACCGGGAACTCAGGCTTCCTTGGACCTCAGTGAAAGCATCCTTTACCATAAAAGCCCTGGGAAAAGCTCTCATTGGTCCACATTGGGTCACATGCTCATCCCTAGACTAATCAGCATGAGCTCCGATTGGCTGAACAGGGTTTGCTACTCATTCTTAGACCTGGGGGCTAGGGAAGAAGTGGACTTTAAGATGTACATAGTTATACTAAAGGTTGTCCAGGGTTTTCCCCCTTTGGATTAAATTCATCTGCCTGGGTCTCATTGTTGAGATAAAATGGGGAAAGTTCAGATCCCTGGGTAGCCTTCCTTTTGGGAGTCTCAGTTCACCTTAAAATGTATCCTGACCTTCTTTCTCTTCTCTTCAGATGGATCCTGAATCTCTTCCATAAAAGAATTGAAAGCAATATCAAAAGAATCTTAGAAAAACAGGTAAAAAGATACACATATTGGTCATTAGTACATGAATCACTAAGCATCTACTTATTTGATATTTGGAAAGAGCCTTTTCCCTTAAGTATGTTGCCATTTGAATTTGCTTAGAAACACCTTCCTCATTCATGGTGCAAAGGCAAATGTCAAGGCTTTCTCAAGTTTGTGTGATCACGCACGCTAAACTGGCATTTGGAATTGACCAAGGTTATTTGATTATCTAACTGTTGGTAATACTAGTGAGAATACTGGCAATAAATGATTTTGAATCCCTCCCTCACACCATATAGAAAATCAATTCCAGGTGTTCTGTGGATTTAAATACCACAATATATCTTAAAAAAACTTTTTTAGGAGAAAAGCTAAAGTATCTATCTCACCTTAAGAACTTGATTTCCCAAGTAAGACCCCATATTGAGAATAGCAGTGAGAATGGCCTTGGTCTTGGAGGCAGAGAGATACCTCTTCATTTTACACTCCATGCACTGTGGGACAAGTCAGGGAGCCCACTGGAGACAATGACCCCTACCTTGAAGAAAGTTAGTGAGGATTTCATGAGATAAACTCACAGAATATCTGGTATACAAGTGGGGCTCAGCGCACTCACATCTCAGAGCCCTGTCTCAACTAGACTCACCTCCTGGTCTCTTCCCTGTTGAGTACTTGAGCTCTGTTGTCAGATGCTCACAGTTTAAATCCCAGCTCAGTCATCGTCTGGCTGTAAGGTCTTAAATAACTGACTTAACCTCTTCAAATCTTAGGATTCTTATCTGTAAAATAGGAATAATCACAAGATATAACATGTACCCTGCTGGGCTATTCTGAGGACCAGGCAATGTGATATACTTAACTAGTGAGCACCCAGGGACTGAATAAGAGCTGAGTGAATGGGGGTAAGGCTATTTTTACAGATAGTTGAGCTCCCCAACAGTCCCGTGTGGGTTGCAGTCACTGACCTACAATTGAAAAATCTGGATGCCACTTGTCCAGAGGGAATGAGGCTAGTGCTAGGGAGGCTGAGCCCAGGGAATGGACAGGTTCAGATGTCATCCCTGACTTAAGTTCCCATACAGCTGTGAGTTCCAGGTTCCAGGAGGCTCTGCAGAAAGAGGATCTCTGGCCAGGGGACCTGGGGGACAATGGAGAAGATCTAAGGAGGTCACACTCCAAGCCATGGGAGGGCTGGCTCCCTGAGTAACACTGCCTGGCTCAAAGGTCCAGGAGAGGCTGGTTGGATCTACCTGGAAACCTCTGGCTGGCTTAGATTAGAATTTTGCACTAAAACAATGCTTCTCAAAATGCAGAAATCTCCAGAGTTGATTTTATGAATTATGAAGCTCGGTATTAAATTATGCAGAATGACAGAATAAGTAACTCCAGCTGCAGTATTCTTTCTCTTTCTTATGTCAAAGACAGGACGTTTCAGTGGGGTTTAATGCATCCTGAACAATTTTTTTTTCCCCTAAATACAAAGAGGGCATTATCTAATTAGGCAGCACCATCTGGCCAGACTTCCAGAGCATATTTTTCTAAATCCTTCATATTCATTTTCCCAGTTATTCCCTCTTTATGCCAAAGGATACCAGTTTTCTACTGACAAGAGATAGTTTCTATATTTTTATTAAATGTATGTGATTTTAATAAGACCACTTGGTAGAAATAACAGACGGTTCAAAAGTGAGAAAGGCAAAAATCATGAAGATGGTGTAGGAATCGCTGAAATTGGGAAATTACTGGGAGACTGGGAGCTTCTGAGACCGCCCCAGCCTGGAACCCCGTGGCTGAGGGATCCAGCAGGAAGCTGGCAGCCAATGAGGACCCTGGAATCCACTGGAACCCGCCTCTGCTTTGCTTTGGCGCCGTCTAGTGACTGCAGTCAGTACTGCCTGCGGAGCCTCCGCGGTGCTGGGACATGGCTCCCCCTTATTCCAGAGGGGCATTAATGGTGAGGTTTCAGGAAGCAAGTAGGAAGAGGAGTCAAAGGAGCCAGGGAATGGGGTGTGGAGTCTCTGAGTCCAGAGTTGTGCCCTGTACCAAGGAGCTCCACTGCTTTGTCCCCCTGTTCTAGTAACTCCGTGTAAGTACTGCACTTCTTGGTGCCTTAGCCGCCAGCACCACATTGACCTGAGGACAGTATCAATAGCACACCCCAGAGCAAGGCCAGCCTGACCACCAGCCACTTTTAATGTGGGTTCCAGGAAAGTCCAGGAACGTAAACTGGGCCCTCCTGCGTGAAAGGCCAGTCCAACTGGAACAGGGCCAAGTGCTGTGTGCACGGGGGAGTGGTCTCTCCTTCCTTTCCATCATATCCCTGCCCTGCGCACACACACAGGGGCCCACAGGACAGGAATGCCACCATGGTTCCTAGAGAGGAGTGGGGAAGCCAGGGGCATCGCCAGGGAGAGGCGGAGGAAGGACTCACCCCACTTTCTCACCCACTTCCGACAGATCTGCGAAGTGGTCAAGAAGTCATCAGACTCGCACCTGAAGCCCTACCTCCAGACTCTGCCAGGTTTGGAGCCCTCCCACCCGGCTTCTCTGGGTGCCTTCAGATGCCATGTCACTGGGCATCCCTGAAACCGTCACCCCTGGGGCAGCCCTGGGAGAATTGCCATTGAGTATCTCCATCCTGCAGAGTTGGCTTTGGGGTGACCACCTCTCCTGGGATCTGTTCTCAGGAGACAGGGAGAAAAGGGATTGAGGAGGTATTCAAAAGCCTGCTGGAAGCCGGGTGCATTGGTGCATGCCTATAATCCCAGGGGCTTGAGAGGCTGAGGCAGGAGGATCACAAGTTCAAACCCAGCCTCAGCAATTTAATGAGGCACTAAGCAACTCAGTGAGACCCGGTCTGTAAATAAAATACAAACTGGGCTGGGGATGTGGCTCCGTGGTCGAGTGCCCCTGAGTTCAATACCCAGTATCTGGCGTGTGCTGGCTGCTTTAACAAAACAGAGTGCTGTGAAATCCCTGGGTCGGGCTAAGGCCCTCCCACCCTCACCTCTGCTGCCACAGGAACACAGGGGCGGTCACCAACTCTCCTGGAGACTGACTCAGACTCCTGTGATTCTCAGAATACTGAGCCCAGCCTTGGTAGCAGGCCCTGTGTGGTCTGACCTGTCCATTACATCCCAGTCCCCAGGGTCATCTTGTTCCTGTCCCCACTCGCTCAGCCACATGGGCCCATGAGTCCCTCTAGCTACCACCTCCGTTCTGCTGCACCGTCTGCACCCACATTGCCCCCTCTGCCAGGAATGCCCTCTCCATGTCCCCCCTGCATCCACTCAACACCTCCTCCTCCAGATCCCAGCCCCAGCAACCCCTCCTTCAGAAACCCGGCTTGACTCCTGTCCAAGCTAAGTTGCCAACGCTCGCTCTGCCCCAGTTGCATGGCTACATCACCCTACGGACTTCTGCTGCCTGATACAGCTGCAATGTTACATTTATCTGCTAAGTGTCTGACTGCCTATTTCCCCTCTGGACTCGTGAGGACAGGGACTTTGCCCATCTTATTCACAGCTGTTTCTTTGGCACCTGCATCACGCCTGGTGTAGAGCAGGTGCTCAATAAAATATTGAATGGGCCCAGTGCAGTGGTACCTGTCTGTAATCCCAGAGACTGGGGAGGCTGAGGAGGATGATTGCAAGTTCTAGGCCAGTCTCAGTAACTTAGTGAGACCCTGTCTCAAAAAGGGAGGGGGTGGCTCAGGATACAGCTTGGAGAACCCCCTGGGTTCAATTGAATGAGCCGAGTGGACAAATAAGACAATCTCTCTTTCTCTTTCTCTTTCTCTCTCCCTCCTTCCCTTCCTTTTTCCCTTCACACTCCCCCCCACTCCTTCTCCCTCTCCCTTCCTTGGCTAAAGGTACCATGAATTGGCCCCAACCCCATTTCCATGTTAATGAGTTCCTTGGAGGTGTGCAGTATAAACTTGCACAACTGTAATTAGCTGGGAACAGCATGTTCACAGGCTGCTTCTTTCCTTTCCCACAGTCACCTTGATGATTGACCAGGTTGCTGGTATTGACTACAGACTGTTTAGAGCTCCCCAGGTGACCTCTAAAAGTGTGGACATACCCATCAAGGTAAGGGGCTATAGAGAGGGCACCTTGGAACTGAAGACTGGTAGAGCATCAGCTTCACCTCTCAGAGTCAGCTCTTCCTTTTCCTTTCAAGTTCATCTACCTGTTAGTCACTGACCCTGACCAGTGTTCAGGGTGGGCACAGGTGGCACTAGTCACAACAGACCAAGACCTAATGCAGGGGTTCTGTGAACCAATGAGGTAAATCTGTCTGAAATACAAAGGCCTGGGCTTGAAGTCCTGGCTCTACCATTTATGTGCTGGGGTGCTTGGGAGAGTTATTTAACCTCTCTGAGCCTCTATTAAATTGAAATAATCATAGCCTTAACCCCTCAGAGTTTACAGGAATTAAGTGAGATGATGTGCATAAGATTCTCAGCAGGTACCTGGCACTTGTATGCATAAGGGGACACTCACTACTGCCTGCATCACCCCTTGCAGACTGCACGGTGGCTCCCTAGGATGTCCACATCCTAACCCTCAGAATCTCTAAATGTCACCACATATGGCAAAAGCACTTTGCAGATGTGATTAAGGGTCTGGAGATGGGAAAATTATCCTGGTTTATCCTGCTGGGCTCAGTGTGCTCACAGGTCCTTACAAGAGGGAGGCAGGAGGTGAAGAACAGAAGAGGGGCGGGAGGTTAGGTGTGGGGAGGAGGCCTAAGCCAAGGAGAGCTGGTGGCCTCCAAGGCTTCAGAGTCTCCCTGGAAGCCTTCAGAAGCATCGCAGGCCCCAAACCTGTGGGGAATTAATTTGGAGCCACTAAGATTGTGGTCATTTCCTACAGCCACAGAGGAACCGGACACACCCCTCTGCATTCCCAGTGTTCCCTCTTCACTCCCCGTGGGTGGAGCCAGGCCCTGGAGCTGCCTTAGCTCACACTTACCTGCCTCTTGCTGTGGGTCAGTTCTAAGAGTTTGTACAAATAATAACTGACCAAGATTTCACACCATTAGCGCTGTCCCCTTTTTTAGGTGAGGAAGTTGGTAACTGGCCCAAGGTCCAGAGCTAGCAAGACGCAGGAGTCCAGTCCTGACAGGGGGCTCCAAACTCCATGCTCTTCACCATGGCTGTGCCTCCTATGTCGTGGTCCCCTGAGGACACAGGAGGCTTGGTCCACCCCAAAGGGATGCCACGCTGATGAGTGGTTCCTATTGGATATGGAAAATGAAAACCCCCAAATAGTGAGGACTGGGAGAAGGGAATGGAAAAGAGAGGCAGACACGGATAGCTCTTATCTCTCTCAAGATCAGCCTTTTTTCAGATGCTGGACTGACTCTCTAGGAAACACTAATCTCTCCCAAGACAGCTCCTCTCCAGGTGCTGGCCACTGACTCCCAGCCCCAAAACCCAAATTCCTGAGTGCTCAGACTGACATGCGCACTAAATCACCCACAGCCTACGTGAGCCCCCAGTCCCCTCCTTTGTTCAGTGGCTCATTTTCCACCAGGAGAGTGGGTCCATTCCCCGAGGGGTAGTCCTGTTCCTGATTAAAAGGCTGAAATGATCCATGAAGTTTGCCCCCGGCCGGGTCTCTTTGGGCTATCAGTTTCAGGCAGCTGTCAGGACCTAGGTAGTGTGGGTCTAGAGGGAATCTTTGAGCACATTGACCCCTCCCTCTGGAGAGGAACCCTACCCCAGCTATCCCCAGGGCACAGGAGGCCTCCACCTGGCAGGCTTTGGATGCTTCTGCCTGAGACCTTCATCCTAACAGGTAGGAACTGGGGTGACTGGTAAGTTCTCTGTCTCCAGGGTGAATTCTTCAGCCAAAGCCAACGCACCCCAGTCCCTTTCGATGCCCCAGCCATGATGCTGCCCCAACAATATGACCGCATGGTCTACTTCGCAGTCTCCGAGTACGTCTTCAACACAGCCAGCAGGGTCTACCACCAGGCCGGGCTCCTGAATGTCACCATCTCAAATGAGCACGTGAGTAGGGGAGAGAAGGAGGCCGGGCACCAGCAGAGGGCTTCAAATGGGACTAGAGACCCTTTGGGTGCTGTGGAACATGCATCAATGGGCTGGGTACAGTTTACCCAACAGAAAAAAATGGGTAAAAAAATAAAAGTTCCTCATTTGTAAAATCAATTCCTGTCATCCCCCGACTCCTTGTGGCACAAGGACACGGGATCTGGATTTGACCACCTGGATTTGAATCCTGGTTCTGCTATTTCCTAGCTTTGGACTCAACCTCGCTGGGCTCGGTTTCCTCCTTTTACAAATGGGGATGAGGATGGCATCTCCCCACCCCCCCGAGATTCTCACATGGGAGATAAAAGCAATCGACCAGTGCCCACATGCAGAGGCCCTTCTCGGCACAAATGCAGGGCCTTGGGCAGGCTGATCACTGGGGGCTAAGCTGATGATTATCAATATTTATTTGATTTTTCTATAGAGGCCTAGTTGAAAAGTGGCAGAGGCAGAGCAGAGCATTCAAGCTCCAGCCCCAAATTCACCCGCCAGACAAGGCAAGCTGGCTTTGGAAGGCATCATGGTGACCATCTGAAGTCACTTAAACACATCCACTGGGTGCTGTGTCACCTATACACTTCATCAAGGTGCCCCTTCCCACCCTGACAGCCGTCTCTTGGAAAGGACTTCTGGAAAATGCGATTCCCTCCATCCTGGGATATTTCCCCTGCTGGCTTAGGACCCTTAGAGATCTGCCCCTTGGAGACCTGCCCATCTGGCCTTCCCCACCGCATCTCAGGGTTCCTGAGGTCTCTGCTGTGCTATGAATATCTGCTCCCTCTCTTTAGCTGGCCGGGTTGTTCCCCAATATGCAAGTACAATTGGAGGCATCACCTGAATCAGAGCCGCACCTGTGGTTCACTCTTGGAAAGGTGACCATTGCACCTGTGATGGACGTCCAAGCCTTCGGCATCCTGCCCAACTCCTCTGACCGCAGGCCACTCTTCCAGCTCAGGGTGGTAAGTTTGGCCCTGATCAGGCAGCAAAGGGTCTTGCTTGCCATGGGTGGAAGTCACTCCTTTAGCTGAGAGGTGACCACAGAGCTGATACCTGCAGAAGGCTATTCATGTCTCCCAGCTGCGTCAGTGGCCCCCCTTCCTAATAACCAGGCTTCCTAAATCACCATGGCTCACCAACTGCCCTGCTGTCAAAGTGACAAGAAACCTCGAGGCTTCGCTCCAGCCAAGATGAACATTTTCACTTTCTCAGTGTTTCTCTCTCTCTACATATATACACATGTTTGAGGCACTAGGGACTGAACACAGGGGCAATCTACTAATGAACCAACCACATCCCAGACCTTTTTTATTTTTTATTTTGAGGCAGAATCTTGTTAAGTTGCTCAGGCCGGTCTCCAACTTGAATCTGCCTGCCTCAGCCTTCCAAGTCTCTAGGATGACAGGTGAGCACCACTGCACCCAGATGTTCACTGTAATCTTTTTACATTTAAAACATCCCCCCATCTCGTTCAGTAGAACTGGAAGTAGAGTATTTATTTTTATAAATAAAAATCATAAAATTACTTTTTTTTTTGGTACTGAGGATTGAACCCAGGAGCACTTAACCACTGGGCCACATCCCCAGACCCTTTTATTTTTATCTTGAGACAGGGTCTTGCTAAGTTGCATGAGGATCTTGCTAAATTGCTAAGGCTCACCTCAAACTTGCAATCTTACTGCCTCAGCCTCTCAACTGTGCAATTATAGGCGGGTGCCACTGCTCCCAGCATATCAAATTGCCTTCTTAAAGAAGGTTTAAAGGCAGCATAGTATTTGGCAACGCTGTCTAAACTGATTTGCAATCTTAACAAAAACCCCAGGTCAGTTTTTGTCAGCTGACAAGCAGGAGCCCAAGATTCACACTGAGATTCAAGTTACCCAGAACTGCCAATGCAGTTTTGAAAAAGAAAAATAAAGTTGGGGACTCACACTTTGCTATTTCAAAACTGACTATAAGGCTGTGATAATCAAAGATAAACATGGAAATCAATAGAACAAATTATGAGTATAGAAATAAACCTCATATTTATGGTCAGTTGATTTTCAACAAGGAGACCAAGACAATTCAAAAGGAATAATAGTTTTTTTCCCCCAATAAATAATGCTGGATATCTACCAGCAAAAGAATAAAATCATACCCCTTTATTATACTATACACAAAAATTAGTTCTAAATGGGTATATACCTAAATATAAAATCTAAAACATAAACTTAAAAAGAAACGTAACTGTCGGGCCTGGAGTTGTGGCTCATGGTAGAGCGCTTGCTTAGCACATGTAAGTCTCTGGGTTTGATCCTCAGCACCACATAAAAATAAATAAATAAAATAAAGTTATTGTGTCCACCTACAACTAAAATGTATGTATGTATATGTAAACATATACATACATATATACATTATACACACAAATACACACATATAGCATAAATCTACATGAGTTAGGCAAAATCTTCAAAGATTTAACACTAAAAGCATAAACAACAAAATTAAAAATAGATAAATTGAATTTCATCAAAATTAAGAACTTTTGTGCTTCAAGGGATGCATGAGAAAGTGAAACCCATGGAATGGAAGTATTTGCAAAATATATACTTGATAAGGAATTTGTATCCAGAATATAAGAGTTCTTATAACTCAATAACAAAAAAAGAGAACTTCAAAAGGGGAACTTCCAATTCTAAGAAGATAGAATAGATGTCCGTTTCCCCATACCTCCTGCTAAGTTCAACTAAAAACCCTAGACACTGGATATAAAATAAATGTAAGAAGACTCTGTAGAACAGGGAGAGAAGGCAGATGAGCTAGGGATCTCAGGGTCTGGAGGACAACCTGTAATGAATTCCCTCCTTCAAATATCCCAACCTGGAGCTGAAGAAGTCAACAGCCCAGAAATGCCAACAAGCACAGATAAAAAACTCTTCTCTCTCTAGCCAAACACTAGAGAAAAAAAGTAAATGATGCCTACCCCCAAGCCTGAAAAGGCCAACTGGGAAGCCAGATTTCTAGTTTTCTTTATCTTTCTTTCTTTTTTTTTTTTTAGTTTTATTTTTTTTAATTTCCTCATTTTTTTAGAATTCTAGAATTCTTAAGTACAAGAAGGCTGTGATGTGCCTAGCAAAGAAAATGTGTGTGTTATATATACTTCATACAGGCATGAGTTATAGTGCCATTGGCTATGAGTTCAATGTTAAGGAATCAATAATACGTGTTAAGTAAGGTATCTCTAAACACTCATAGAACAAAGTTATAGATTGATCAGTTAACAAAATATTACAAGAGACACAAAGGAACTTACTCTTGTATTTCCCCAAAGGGCATTGATTCAGTATTCACTAATCCCATGTTCACAGCAAATACATAGAACTTAACTGCCCAAATTAACATAGCTGGAGATTTGACCATAGCTGGAGATTTTAACATCTACTCTCAGTAACTGATAAAGCAACTAGATGGAAAACCAGCTCAGATACAGAGCTCAACACCACCATCCACCAACAGATTTTTTTTTCTAACAGGCTTTAAAAACGCTCATTCAGGGCACAGTGGTGCACAGGCCTATAATCCTAGCAGCTCAGGAAGCTGAGGCAGGAGGATCACAAGTTCAAAGCCAGCCTCAGCAATTTAGTGAGACCTGTCTCAAAATAAAAAATGAAAAGGTTTGGGGTGGTTCAGTGGTTGAACAACCCTGGATTTAATTCCCCAGTAGTAAAAACAAAAAAAGAAGAACACTCATACCATGACCCATAACACTGAAATACATCCTTTTCAAATGTCTACATCCTAAGACAGACCATATCCTGGCCCATAAAACAAGCCTTGCTGGGCACAGTGGCACAGGCTTATAATCCCAGAGGCTCGGGAGGTTGAGGTAGGAGGATCTCAAGTTCAAAGTCAACCTCAGCAAATCAAGGCACTAAGCAACTCAGTGAGACCCTGTCTCTAAATAAAATACAAAATAGGGCTGGGGATGTGGCTCAGTGATCGAGTGCCCCCGAGTTCAATCCCCAGTACAAACAACAACAGCAAAAAAGTGCAAAAGTAAAAAATTAAAGAATTCAAAACAGTCATAATCAGTCATATGTAGCTAGAGTAAGCTAATTACCATAATAAAAATAAATTCTAGTGGTCTAATCCAGTAAAAAAATTTATCTCACATAAAATCAATCAGTTGTTTCTAGTTGGCAGATGGCCTTCCACATGGCCATTTAGGGACCCAGGTTCCTTCTGCCTTGTGATTCCTCTCTCCTTTAAAGCTTCATAATCCCCTCCACACAGTTCAGCAGATGCAGAAAGTAGGTGGAAGATCATAGAGGTCTTTTAATTGACCAGGTCTTGAAGTAACTCACATCTTTTATGCCCACCATCCATTGGCTAAAACTTAGTCACATGGTCACACCTAACTGTCTGGGAAGCTGGGAAATGTAGTCCAACTGTGTGCCCAGAAGAAAAGGAAATGGGTCTTGGTGTACCCAGTCTCTGCCACACATGTTGCTCATGCATTTTTAATATTTCTTGGCTACCATTCAAGCCTATGTGGACCTTGTCCACACATGAGCAGAAGCCAGCCTTCTGTCCTTGGGCTGAGACACAATCTGGTTCCCTTTTCCTGTCACAAGTCTTTGGGACATCAGTTAGGTTTCAAATGAAGCTGTTCAGTGGTGCCACCCAAGCACTCAACCAGGTGTTAGAGGTAGGAGTCCCCCGCCCCCCGTGAGAAGTGGCCTAGGTGGACAGCTGACCATCACAGTTGGCACGGGGCTTTGAGGGGCTGACCGATTCTATCACCTGGCTCAATGCCATCCCTTGGCAAGCCAATCCTCAGTCTCTAAGATGGGTGTCAGTAAGTGGCGTCTAAATTTCTCCAGGGCTCAGGGACTCTGTGAAAGTCCCTTAGGAGTCTGCTCTGAAGAACTCAGTCAAACAGACTAAAGTGTCCCTGTTCAAATTTGGGCTTATTCCCCTTCCCAATGCTTTCACTAAAATGGAGACATGTGCCAGGAACCGAGGCACCCACCTGTAATCCCAGCAACTCAGGAGGCTGAAGCAAGAGGATCATAAGTTCAAGGTCAGCCTGGGCAAGTAAAAGGGAGAATGAAGCCTCAGCTCTCCCTTTTTTGTGCCAGCTGTGGGGCCACCGCACAGCCACCCACAATCCTGGGTGGCTGCTTTTGCCCATTCGTTCCACATGGCCACATGGCCTGGGGTTTCTTAGATCAGGAACAAACAAGGTGCCTAAGTGGTCTTTTGCTTTTGTAGAAAACCAACTTCTCCATCTCCATCAGCGTGAACTCCGATAGGATCGTTGGCTCAGTGTCCCCAGAAAGGTAAGACAGCAGGAGTGGGGAGAGGAAGGAGGGTGGACAGCGACATGCTGACAGTGGCCGTAACAGCCAGCATGGTTCACTCAGGACTGAAGGTGACCCATGGGGGCAGCTCTCCACCAGATCTGAGTGCCCTCTAGAAAAGGCACAGTGACAATGCCTCGGGCAGAAAGCTGGAAGGGGGAAGAATCGCCAGGTGTCTCCAGATGCCTGTCGCTCCAGGCTCCTCCTGCCCACCCCGCAGGCTTCAGAGGAGCTGGAATTTCTGCAAAGGAATAGTGTAGGTCAAGATGGAGGGTAGAGCTTGAAGCTGTGTTCACAAGGACTTTACCTCTGAGGAAAAGTGTCCACTGTCACAAAGCGGAGATTTTGGATGGAAAATTGACGTTCCCCAAGCCACTGCCCACTGCTCCCCTGCCCAGATTCCCAATCCATAAGCATAAGGTTTAGATGGTGGATCAGTGCAGAAAGAGTTCAGGCTTTGGGCAGCAGAGATTATACTGCCTCCTGGGGGTTGGCACCTGTCCTCTATACCTCATGTCCTCTGTGCCAAGCCCCACATCTTTGTATTTTTGTTTTTGTGGGTTTTTTTTTTTTTTTTTTTGTACTGGGGATTGAACCCAGAGGTGTTTTAACACTGAGCCAAGTCCCCAGCCCTTTTTATTTTTTTTAAATTTCATGACAGGGTTTCATTAAGTTGCTTAGGGCTTCACTAAGCTGCTGAGGCTGGCTTTGAACTGTGATCCTCCTGCTGCAGCCTCCAAAGTTGCTGGTGTGCAAGCCCCGTGTCTTGTCTACTCTGGGTGATGCTCCTTGCTAGATGTGCTTGGGCTAATAAAATGCCCTGGCCCTATTAAAATGAACATCTTAGGATGCTTTAAAAAGAGAAGCTAATAGCTGGGCGCAATGGCACATGCCTATAATCCCAGTGGCTTGGGAAGCTGAGGCAGGGGAATCACAAGTTCAAAAGCCAGCCTCAGCAAAAGTGAAGTGCTAAGCAACTCAGTGAGACCCTGTCTCTAAATAAAATACAAAATAGGGCTGGGGATGTGGCTCAATGGTTGAGTGGTTGAGTTCAATCCCTAGTAACCCCTTCCCCCGAGAGAGAGAGAGAGAGAGAGAGAGAGAGAGAGAGAGAGAAGTTAATGGTGAGCCTTTGGGGCAGTGGGAAAGCTGGTAGGGACAGATGGACTTCTGGAGTTTCCTAGAGTTTGCATGTAGGCACAGACCTCCTGGTTGGGGGTCTCAGGACAGCCAAAGATTTTAGCCCGCGTGAATGAAGATTCGAAACGTGAGAAATCTCTAGGGAGTTTTTAATTAAAGAGACAAGACTCTAATTACCTTTAAACCAGCTCCAGGACGGCTCCTCCTAGCTCCAGCCTCCAGCCACCTATTATGGTAGCGAGGTTGACTGAAGAGGCTAGGGAGAGAGAGAGAGAGCGAACACGCCAGGGAGTGGACTTTTATTGGGGAACAAAAAATTCTGGGGAAAATCACATCCAATGAAGATTAAGGGGGCAGCATCCCAAGGTCAGGGGCGACAATTGGGTCTTCGGGGTAGTGGCCAGACATGCCTCCGCAAGGACAAGCCCTCGGACCTGAGAAGGGTTGGGAAAGCTCTGGACACAAGATGTGCCTAAGCACCTCTCACCCAGCCAAGGAGGTAACTCAAATCACGTGCGAGGATGGCCTCCCACAAAGGACTGGAATGAGGATTTCTCCAAGGAATTCTCAAAGACCATTCATTCTACCCCATGAGTAGAAAGCAGGGAGATCCACCCAGGGCCATTGGAATTCCTGAACAAGGGAACCAGAGCAAGAGGAGAGCCCAGCAGGAGGAAAATCAGTGGAGACCTGATTTCTACAGTCACGGGGATCAGGTGCCCCGAGCCACTGTCTTCCTTCACTCCTGCACCAGTTGAGGGGCCTTGCTTCCCTCTTTACGTCATGTTTCCATCTAATATAAATCACTGCCCACTTTCACATTATAAAAATAATGCATTCTTATACAAGAAAAGTTGGAAATTACCTAAGTGTAAAAACAAAATCACCCCTAAACTTGCCACACAGAGACTAGCTCTGCTCATAAGTTTTCTACCAGCCTTTTTTTTTTTTTAATTTTTTATTGTTGGCTGTTCAAAACATTACATAGTTCTTGATATATCATATTTCACAATTTGATTCAAGTGGGTTATGAGCTCCCAGTTTTACCCCATATACAGATTGCAGAATCACATCAGTTACACATCCATTGATTTACATATTGCCATACTAGTGTCTGTTGTGTTCTGCTGCCTTTCCTATCCTCTACTATCCCCCCTCCCCTCCCCTCCCCTCCCCTCCCCTCTTCTCTCTCTGCTCCCTCTACTGAGATTCGTTTGTCCCCCTTATATTATTTTTCCCCTTCCCCTCACTTCCTCTTGTATGTACTTTTGTATAACTCTGAGGGTCTCCTTCCATTTCCATGCATTTTCCCTTCTCTCTCCCTTTCCCTCCCACCTCTCATCCCTGTTTAATGTTAATCTTCTTCTCATGCTCTTCGACCCTACTCTGTTCTTAGTTACTCTCCTTATATCAAAGAAGACATTTGGCATTTGTTTTTTAGGGATTGGCTAGCTTCACTTAGCATAATCTGCTCTAATGCCATCCATTTCCCTGTAAATTCTATGATTTTGTCATTTTTTAATGCAGAGTAATACTCCATTGTGTATAAATGCCACATTTTTTTTATCCATTCATCCATTGAAGGGCATCTAGGTTGGTTCCACAGTCTAGCTATTGTGAATTGTGCTGCTATGAACATCGATGTAGCAGTGTCCCTGTAGCATGCTCTTTTTAGGACTTTAGGGAATAGACCGAGAAGGGGAATAGCTGGGTCAAATGGTGGCTCCATTCCCAGCTTTCCAAGAAATCTCCATACTGCTTTCCAAATTGGCTGCACCAATTTGCAGTCCCACCAGCAATGTACAAGTGTACCCTTTTCCCCACATCCTCGCCAGCACTTGTTGTTGTTTGACTTCATAATGGCTGCCAATCTAACTGGAGTGAGATGGTATCTTAGGGTGGTTTTGATTTGCATTTCTCTGACTGCTAGAGATGGTGAGCATTTTTTCATGTACTTGTTGATTGATTGTATGTCCTCCTCTGAGAAGTGTCTGTTCAGGTCCTTGGCCCATTTGTTGATTGTCTACCAGACTTTTAAAAAAAATTTTTTTTGTAGTTGTAGATGGACAGAATACCTTTATTTTGTTTATTTTTATGTGCCTCACACAGGCTAGGCAAACGCTCTGCCACTGAGCTACGGCCCCAGCCCTCTTCTAGCCTTTTTTAAGTACATTCCTTTTTTTTTTTTTTTAGAGAGAGAGAGAGAATTTCAATATTTATTTTTCAGTTTTCGGCGGACACAACATCTTTGTTTGTATGTGGTGCTGAGGATCGAACCCGGGCCGCATGCATGCCAGGCGAGTGTGCTACCGCTTGAGCCACATCCCCAGTACATTAAGTACATTCCTTATACAATTGGAAACACTGAGTGGAATGTTTTATATTCCACTTTTTCCATATAATTTTTTTTTAATACTGGAGAATTGAGCCCAGGGGAGCTTAACCACTAAGCACATCCCCAGACCTTTTTATTTTGAAACAAGGTCTTGCTAAGTTGCTGAGGCTGGCCTGGAACTTGCCTTCCTCCTGCCTCAGCCTACCGGGCCGCTAGGATGACAGGAATGTACCACCACGCTCACTTCCACTTAATATTTATTCCATCATAATTTCCTTATTAAAATTCTCTACAAACATCCTTTTTAACAATGGCACTTCCTCTCAGATCACAATGCATACCTTAACCCACAAGGGACACACTGCAGAGGAACTATGGGCTACCCAGTCTCCAGGCAACAGGCCTTTGCCTCCAAACACACTGCAGATTTCACTGGGGTGACAAGAAAATGGGAGTCACGGCCCAGTGACCCACACTTGTCTCTTTCTCTACACAGTGAGCTGAAACTCGAATTGAAACACTCCAACATCGGTTCTGTCGACGTGAGTTACTTTTCATCAGTGTCTCTCAATCATCTTTGCCAAGACAGGTTCTGTTAGGCTCCAGGAGACGCAATCAAGTCCCAGACAGAGATGCCAGGAGGAATGAGATCCCATATCTGAAAGTTTACCTTATACAAAGGGCTCCATCTGAGGGCTGAAGAGCAACAGGCTCTTACAGCGAGTTTTGGAGTAAGATACAGGCTGTGCCACCTGCTAGCTAGGTGATCATGGACAAGTTGCTTAATCTTTCTGAGTCTCAGTTTCTTTTACTGAAAAATGAGAATAATGGCATCTACCATAAATGGGGCCTGTGATAGGAAATGAGGCAGTGTGTTATGTAAAACACTTTGACCCAGTGCCTCAAACACAGTAAGCTCTTGACTATGTTCACAATTGGAATATGAATGGCTCAGCATCACAATGCCTTATTCAAACCCCTGGCGGATGAGTGGGTTTAGGGATTGAGAGTATCTGAGACATATAATACAGTGCATGCATCCTTTGACTTCCCCAGCAAGACCAGGGGAAACTCTATAATCAAACAGTGATATTTTTGCAACAAAACCTAACAATGTTCACATAAAGTGGCATAAAGAAACACGAAATAGCACTCACATCATGGTTCGGCATTCACTGGGCCTGCATGCTCTTACAGAAAGTAAATGCAGAGACTAGGGTTTGCACTGTGAGCAAGGGGCTGTTTGGAAGAGTGGTAGTCAGTCAGCATCTGTGCTTAAATGGGGTGACGTCCATTTTTCCAGGGGTGGGACCGGATGTTCCTCCCTTGACTCCTCTTTCTTCGTGTCTATTTGTTCTGGCCCCGTCTGTGCTCCAGGTGGAAGAGATGGAAACCATCTTCAACGTCTTTGCACGCGAGGTCATCTACCCCTCTCTCAATGGTAAGAAGAGCTGCCACTACCTGCACCAGAGTACAAGGGCTGGGTTCTCCCCTCCCCACAGGATTCCTGGTTCATTCGTTCAGCAAGTTGAGCCTCTCTTCTGTGCCACCTGGGATGCTGGCAATCCACGACCCATGCCTCATAGTTCCCACCTTGTTAAGAAGGCAGATGTGTAACAGGTGCCTATAGAAGGGAGCTCAGGGAACCACAGGAGCTGGGAGAGAGCATGGACTTAGACATCAGGCGGAGCTCCCTAGACATGAGGGATAAGCTGTCTCAAAGCTCAGGAGTTAAGCCAGGTACAGTGATGCACGCTTGTAATCCCAGCAACTCAGGAGGTCAAGTCAGGAGGATTGCAAGTTCAAGGCCAACCTCAGCCACTTAGACCCTATCTCAAAATAAAAAAATTAGGGCTGGGGATGTATCTCAGTGGTAAAGCAATTCTGGGTGCAATTCCCAATTAAAAAAAAAAAAAAAGACATAGGAGTGAGGCCAAAGGAGTAACATTATAGTTGACCCCTAGCAGGACACCTGGAGTTAGCATCCCTGGGTCCCAAGCCAGGGGACCTTGCTGGAGGTAGTGCTTGTCCAGCGGCTGCCTAAGAATTAGCAGACCTCCCACCCTTCCCTCTCCAGTTGGCCTCACCATCTACATCTATGACCAAGAGATAAGAGCAAAACAATGATCTGAGAGAAGGAGAGGCAGAGTGTGGCCCTCAGGGATGTGGCCCTCAGGGATGAGTCCCTAGACATGAACACTGCACACCCAGGCCTAGCCACTTCAGGTGGGGGTGAGGTTGGGCTCTCAAATGGGTTGATAGAGGCCCAAGAAGCTGTCCATATCCATCCCCTCCTGAAGAGGCTGCATTTTCCAGGACTCTACGTCCCCACCCTAAACCAGCTTTGGACCCAGTAGCCAGCAGCTGACTCATGCTGTCTATCGCCTCTTGCTGTTTATCTTCCAGCCCAGCTCAAAAAGGGATTTCCACTCCCTGTTCCAAGGAACATCTTCCTCAACAATGTGGAGCTCCAGATTCATGAGGTGAGAAGTGGGACCTGGGGGGGCTCTAAGCCCTGCTGGGAGGTTGCTTCAGGGGCTGGTGGAGATGGAAGCAAGCCCTGACCCCCACATACAACCTGGACCTAATTTTTAAGAAAAAATAACAATCTGTTTCAAATGTTGGAGTACAAATAGCATCTGTAATCTGGACTCTTGACTTCATGTACCAAAACTCATTTCTCAACAATCCGACAGTCACTGAGCATCTGTGACTGCAGGGCACTTTAGCCGTGCACAGCAGGAACATGGGAAAAGGGTCAGATGAGATGCCACTTCTGGGTTGATGAGGGGCCATCTGAACAGGCCTAGAATCTCATTGGTGGTGTGTGGGTTTCCTTAGTCACTGACCAGCCTTCCCATCCATAGAAGCAGGGGATGGTGTGGAGAAAAATAGAGCATGCCTTCTAGGTGGAAGGAACTTAGCAGGGGCAGAGGCAGAAACAACCAGAGCACACTTTCATAGGCCCAGAGGTACTGTGTGCCAGTCTTTGCTGTTCACAGTGGGGTTTTTTGGTGGTGGTGACAGGGAGTTCTTGAGATTTAACTCAGAGGCACTTTACCACTGCGCTATATTCCGGGGCTTTTTTTTTTTTAATTTGAGACAGGGTCTCACTAAATTGCTGAGGCTAGCCTTGAACTTGCGATCCTCCTGTCTCAGCCTTCTGAGCTGCTGGGATTACAGGCATGCACCACTACACCCAGCCACAATATATTCTTTTTTTTTTTTTTAATGTTTTTATAGTTGTAGATGGGCAACATGCCTTTATTTATTTTTATGCGGTGCTAAGGATTGAACCCAGTGCCTCACACATGCTAGGCAAGCGCTTTGCCACTGAGCCACAACCCCAGCCCCTCACAATATATTCCAAGGAAATCCTGGACAGCATTTTCCTGGAATTGAGTATCACAGGTAACAGCCAATTGTGACTTATTTTTCTGGGGGCACAAATTTTAGAGAAGGAAGGTGACATTTGTGGGTATCTGACAGAAATCAGTAACTTGGGAGATGCAGATAAATTCCTGGGGACAGGCAGCTAATAGGGACAATTTGTTGCGAAGGTCCCTAAGGCTTCTGGTTGATGTAAGAACTGGCATACTCCACTCAACCTTCTCTTCCAGAAGTGCATGTGTGGCTCAGCAAGTGACCTTTCTTGACTGTCCTTTTTGCCTTCTCTCTAGAACTTCTTGCTCTTAGGGGCCAACATCAATTAGACTGTGGCTAGAGGGGTCACCATATCACAGCCGGACCTGCCCTTGACCCAGTGGAGGCTCAAAGGCTGCAGCTACTCTCTCCCATGAGCTCCTGCTGCCCTACCGACACCAGAGAACCTATGACATCTGAAGACACATCTGACCTGGAGACACCTTCCCAACTTTCCTCCTCCTTTTTCTCCTTCCCCCGCCCCAGGTGTTTTCTTTGGATCCCCTGCTTTACCCTGGGGAGCTCAACCTGACTCCATACTAGTCTACACTAGAATCCACTTCCATTAAGGAAAAAAGCACCAGCAGTGGCCAGGCACCAAGCAGCCCAAATTAAACACAGAGCAACTAAGTTGTATGAGTCACTGGATGTTGTGGTTAAGAGATCAAGAGTTAGATGGACATGTGCTCAAAGCCTCATTTTGCTCCTTACGGGGTGATACTCTGAGGTGGGATCCAGCCTCTAGATAGGGCACACATTTGTTCAACAAACCTCGATTTCAATTTTCTGATCATTTATCCACACTGGCCTCTTGTCTCTGCACTTGATGCTGGGGAGGGGTGAAGGTCGAAGAGTGAACACAAAAACACATGGTTTCTGCCTTCATTAAGCTTACAGCCCAAAACAAAAGCCCAGCAAACTTTCCTGCAAAAGAGTAACAGACAGTCAATATTTTAGGCCTATATCATCTCTGTTCCAACTTACCTCTGCCATTGCAGAAAACACCCATAGACAAGAAGTGTCACTATAAATGTCACAAGAACAAGCAATGGTCCAGGCGTGGTGGTACACTGCCTGTAATCCCAGCAGCTGGGGAGGTTGAAGCAGGAGGATCATGAATTCAAAGGCTCTTTTAGCACTTGGCAAGGCCCTAACAACTCAGGGAGACCCTGTCTCTACACAAAATGCATAAAATAGGTTGGGGATTTGGCTTAATGGTTAAGCACTCCTGGATTAAATCCCTGGTACCAAAAAAAGAGCAGTGGGCCAGGTTTGACCTGTAGGCCAGTTTGCCAATCCCTGGTCTAAAAGAACAAACCACCAAGAGTTGACACTGAAAGCAAGCCTGATTTTTATTGGGAAAACTTCTAACAATCACTTCTGTTTTAAAGAGGCAAGTGGCTGAAACCCAAAAGCAACACTGGCAGGAAGATTTTTTAAGGCATGACCAGTTAACAGTTCATAGCCATCCTTCCTGTTGGATGTCAAACCTTCAAGACTCTCACGCTCCTGCAAATGGACAACATGCAATTGTCCCTAACAATGAGATAGAATTTTTTTTTTTGGTGGTGCTGGGGACTGAACCCAGGGCCTTGTGCATGAGGCAAGCACTAAGCTATATTCCCCACCCCCTTGGTTTTGTCTATTCCAGGATGGATCAAAGATTTCTCATCAGGAAGCCACAGCTTTCAATCCCCAGCACTAAAATAAGACACAACTTTAATGATCTTTGATCAAGTTTGTCCCTGAGGTCTTATCGGACCAGCTTTATCTTATTATTTAGGCCTTTCATTTGAGGCCATTTTAACGTTTTCTAGAAATGTTAACAAATCTTTACAGGGAAGAATCCATCCTTCTGTCCTGACCCTTAGGATGTTTTCTCTATGCCCAGATCTGACCCTCTGTAAAAGGCAGATGAGTCGATACAAGGACTTGGTTAATGCATCATCTCTTTGCTGCAATTACCCACTAGCCACATCTGTCCTCCACCTGCCCATCCTGTTCCAATAGTGGCTGCCCCACGTTCACACTACTCACACCCTTACTCCACAGCTTCTCACCATGCTAACACCATGCAGTTTATGTCCATGGGAGGCTGGCCAACTAGTTCATTTACCTACTTTTCTGGTTTTAGCAATGAGAGGTCCCACTTTCTGCCTAAGCCCTCAATTTATGGACACCGTGGTCTTCCTAATACCAACCACCTTTTCAAACTCCTGGCTTGACTATCCTGAAGTGTTTACGGCCTGGATACGACATGTCCCCCAAAGACTCATGTGCTAGAAGACTTGTTAACAAGGGCAGCGATGTTAACTCCCTTTTGGAAAGGGACTGGATGGTTCCTCATCAGTGAAACCCACTGATGGATTAATAATTTGATGCCATCATGGGGAGCCAGTGATTAGTTGGAGGAAGGTTACTAGAATGATTTGTTTCCTGCTTATGCCTCCATCCTGTTTGGGGCTGCTGCCATGAGCTAAGCAGTTTTCCTCAGCCACACCTTCATCACACCCTGCCTCATCTAAGGTCCAAAGCAACGAAGCCAGCAACCACGGACTAAAATCTGATAGTTGAGACAAAAATCAATCTTTCCTCCCATAATTTGTTCACACCAGGTATTTTTTCATAGTGACAAAAAGCTAGCACAGCCCTCAGCTCACAATCCCTGAATGTGAGCAGCAGTCAGTCACTTCCTAGTCCTGACTATACATCTCACATACCCTGCCTCCACATCCAGCCTCCTACTTAGGTTGTTACTAATTTAAAAGGCAGGCAGAGGGGACAGGGTTTGTTGCTCAGTGGTAGAGCACTTGTCTAGATTGTGTGAGGCCCGGGGCTCAATTCTCAGCACTGCACATAAATAAATGAATAAAATAATTAAGGCCCATCAACATTAAAAAAAAAAAAGGAAATTTTTATTGAATGGGGGATGGGGGGACAGGAAGAAACACGAAGACCAAGGAAAAGTCCAGAGCCAGCCACCACAGCACATGCCTGTAATCCCCAGTGACTCAGGAGGCTGAGGCAAGAGGATGGCAAACTCAAGGCCAGCCTGTTCAACTTAAGAGACCATGACTGCAGGTACAGGCAGACAGATGGAGCTGGGCTTTCCTGTCCATGGCCCTGGTTTCTGAATGATCTCAGCATACAGTAGGGTGCAGCTGGCAGTGAAGCTTCATGGGATGACATCACTCTCAATTCTCTGCCCCTCTGGTGTCCATGAACAGCACCCACCAAGATCTAAAAGAAAAGGCTGTGAGATAGTGGTCTGGGGTTTCATTTGCCCTCAGCTTCTGATAATGGCTTCCAGGGCCCCTGGCATTAACTTAACCACAATGAGAAGCATCAGCACACCCAGATCCCAATCATCCCAAGGGCCACGGACTCCCTGGCCTGGGAATGTCCTTCAATAGTCTCTGCTTCCACAGGTATGAGACCTAGACAGTTGAGGAAGCAGAAAAGTAGTAAGTTTGGCACCATCTTCTCCTGTCCAAACTGACACCACCCAATCAGCAGGTTCTTGTTTTATAAAGAGTTAAAAAACAAAAATACCTTGGAAGCTCAGTTTTTACAGTGTCTTGACAGGAGTAATATCCATGTATTTGTGCACCAACTGTCAATTTGTTGCTTATCCCCCTCTGGGCGCACACCTGAAGATGAATCGCTTCATAAAGACAGAGGAATGCCCATATTCACCACAGCACCCTTCCCCATGTCCAAGACACAGAAACATGAACCCAAAGAGATCAAGAAAATGATATATATGTCTACACACTGAGACAGAGTAAGGGAACAGAATATTATTCAGCCTTAAAAAAAGGGAGATCCTGCCATTTGTTACACAGATGGACTTAGAGGACATTATGCTATGTGAGATAAGCCAAAAGCTCTCACTTATATGTGGACTAAAAAGCAGGTGGTAGTGGGAAATGGGCCAGTATAAATCAAATGATTTAGATATGTAGACTGAGTTAGTATGAGGACTATCATACCATGTTAAGAGGTTTTGTTAAATTCATTTTCTAAGATTTTAATTGCTCTTGCAATACACATACCTTAAAAAAAAGATAATCCCAGCCCAGACAGGCACAGTGGCTAGGATATGGCTCAGTGCTTAAGCACCTCTGGGTTCAATCCCCAGTAGGGAAAAAAGTCCTGTGTGACAGATGTTAATCTGCTTTACGAGGATAACCACTTTATTATTTTATAACATGTTACAGACCTCAGTGATTGGAACAGATCAGGGGAAGGAGAGAGGTGACGGGGGCCTGTGTCTACCGTCTGGTGTGTAAGGGTTGAGTTCACCTATCTGTCCATATTGTGTTTTGCCATCCTTGATTACTACTGTAGTCCCTGCCCCCTTAATTGAAGACCAGTGGGAAAATCCATACCTGATGGACTGACCATGGGCCCTCTTTAGGGCAAGGTCTATGGGTAGACTAAAATAAGGTAAGTTTCGTCACCAAAGAAATTCCTCAAATGGGAGAAGAAAATGAGACAAATGCCTCAACCTCAGGCAGGCTGCTTTATCCAAGGGCATTTTCCTGTGACTGCTCAATGGAAAGAACTCTATCCTTATAGGAACTTGCCTCCTTTTTGTCCAAAAGTGACAAGAGTTCCAGGCCCAAAGCAGATTGTGACAAGACATATAGAGACATAGAGCCACTGCCCTGAAGAAGCTTACAGAAAACAAGCATGGTGGCCAACACCAGTAGCGACTCAAGAGGCTGAGGAAGGAGAATCTTGAGTTCAAAACCAGCCTCAGCAACTCAGTGAGGCCCTATCTCAGAATTAAAAAAAAAAAAAAAAGCTGGGGATATGTCTCAGTGATTAATTGCCCCTAGGTTCAATTCCCAGTACATGAGAAGGGTATGATGAGCAAGACCACAGTGACCAGTGACCAGAGCTGGGGCTGAGGACAAGAAGCATGGGGCAAATATAGGAGAAATGACCTCTACTGTGATTGCAAAATCAGCCTATGAACAAAGTCCCCTGGGGCAGAGCCCTGCCTTGATTCCCTTTCTATAAGGCCCCAGTGCCCACACCATGCTAGAAGGTGCACTGCAGTGGCCTCAGCACCAGGTATCAGGAGGTAAGAAAGAGAGTGAGAGACAATATATGTACAAAAGCTCCAGAGTTTGAAAGGGACAAAAGCAGACCCTCCAAACACGGGGAATCGCTTTCAGCAATTCCTCTCCCTGCACTATCAATGACCAGGGCACGGGTAGCCCATGATCACTTTCGAATACAGGGGCAAAAAAAGACAGGCCAGGGCCAGCAGCTGAGGAAAGGGCCCTGGCCAGGATGAGAGACATAGTGACTCAGAAAAGGGACACAGTAACTAAGTTTACTGGTTGTAACTGCACCAGCTGCCCCTGGTTCTCAAAGGTACTCTAACATGGGGCTTCATAAGCTTTGGCCTAAGATGGAAGTCCAAGTTTGGGAGTAATGTGGAGTTCATTAGGTCTGGAGGTCTGGAACTGAGTCATAAAAAGTATCCCACCAAGGTTCAGAAAAAAACACCAGCTAACTTTCTGACTTCCCAAAGCATTTTAACAAGCTACTGCAGAACCAAGCAAGGATGAGGGCTACATAGGTCCTTGCAGAGCTCCTGGAAACCAAGGGGAGCTCTATAATACCTACTGTGTTTAACAAAAGCTTCTTCTGCTTCTCAGAATGGGAGAGGAGAGTTTGGGGAGCATGTCCCTGCAGGCCACAGTGAGGGAGCAAACAAAAGGAAGCAGCCTTTGCCTTGGTCTTGAAGCTGAACATCACTGTTCTCTCTGGAGAAGCACCCAGGATCCATACCTCAGGAGCATCATAGCCCAGCCTCCCCTTTTTTTCTTTTTCAGCCTCCTCTTAATGACAGGGGGCTGCTAGGCACAGAGGACAGCTGACAATCCTGCAGGGACAAGAAGCCACATACATCATTTATCAATCACCCAAGACGTTCACCACGAATTAAAAAACCCATCTCTCATCAGGTGGTTAGTGCAAGCCTGTAATTCCAGCAACTTGGGAACTAAGGCAGGAGGATCCGATTGAGATCAGCTTCAACAATTCAGCAAGACCCTCATTTCAAAATAAAAATAAATCTCAGTGGGGATGGAAGGGGCTAAAAGGTGACAAACAGATTTCTCTTCGCTCTCCACTTCTTTCTTCATTTTTTCCCTTCTCTGGCCTCATGCTAGGCATGCTGGGCAAGCGCTCCACTATTGAGCATGACACCCCCAGCCCTTTTTGATTCTGAGACAGTTTCACACTAAGTTGCTGAGGCTAGCCTCGACTTGTGATCCTCCTTCTTTAGTCTCTCAAGTCACTGGGATTACAGGCATGCACTACCACACTCAGCTCATTTTTTTTTAAATTTTTATACTTTTCTTCATTCTTTTTTTGGAGGGATGGGCACTGGGGCCTGAACTGCTACTGAGCCAAATCCCTAGCCCCATTTTGTATTTTATTTAGAGATAGAGTATCATTGAGTTGCTTAGCACCTCACCATTGCTAAGGCTGGCTTTGAACTTGGGATTCTCCTGTCTTAGCCTCCCCGGCCATTGGGATTACAGGCATGCACCACTGAGCCCAGCTCATTCTTTATCTTACAATTTCATCCATTCCTCCAGGGTCAGCCCGAGAACCAGGCATTCTAAGATGAGACTCAAAGGCCAGGACAAATGGCAGAGGAATGATAAGCACAGAACAGTGGCCAGTGAGTCATGCCAATGTATACTTCATAGGGACACGGAGGAGGCAAAACCTAGAGGAGCCATGCAGACTGGGAAGTGAGGTGGTGTACTGAGCTGGACACCCTACCACTATGAGCACTCACCCTTTCCTTCCTCTTATTAGTACACACTTAGGAATCTCTATTAAAGGACAACATGTAATAAAGCCCTAACTTAGGCACACACAACCCTGCACTCGCCACCTCACAACACTGGATTCTGTTCTGGGCAACCCTTCCACATAATCCACACATGACATCCCCAGCCAGATATCATGAGGCACCAAGAAACAACTATAAGGGTTGGCAAAAGATAAACTGGAGTGTGGGAAAACTACAGGGTTTGGAAGGGATGGGTGGACCCTCCAAACACGGGGAAAATGTCTTCCAGCCATTCTTCTCCCTGCACTATCAATGACCAGGGCACAAGCAGCCCATGAACACTTTCGAATGCAGGACCAAAGAAAGATCAAGGAAGGGCCAAGGACAGGAAACTAATGCCAGGGGCCTAGTCCAAAACAAAGAGCACAGAAATCCTGCAGCTGCCATCTAGCATACAAAACCCCATAAAACTGCCAAGGTGAAACAGAGGAGATACTTGCAACAAAAAACACTGGAAAAACCTACGGGCCAGAGATCAGGCTCACATGGACATGTCCAAAGACCTATTTATTACATCTTTGTTTTCTATACCAGGAAACTGAGGTTCAAAAATAGGTCAGACCAGCCCCTGGCTGGCATCTGGGAACCTGGGTCTCGGCATGTTCCCATCTCAGCAGTGAACTGATCAGGGTGGCTCACCAAGCCCAGACTGCAAACAGTGTGGTTTAGACCCACCACTTACTTTCCTCCTGGGAGCCTGGACTTTTACTGCATGCCAGGCAGACGGTGTTCACATGACCAGACCTCAGTACAAGCCCTGGGCTCAAGTCTCTATTGGGCTTCTCTGAGCAGAAACACGGCACACATGGGGAGGCCTACCCACTGCTGGGGAAGAATGGGTTCCCTGCAAGGGATGAGGGATGGAAACAGCATTAAAAAGCCTGCAGACTCCTCCTGACCCCCACCTTTGTCCTTTTTTCCTTTAACATTTGGCTGTATATCCTGTCTGCTGCTATGATAAATCTTAACCATCGAGTACAACTAGAAAGAAACTAGCCAGACATGGTGGCAAAAAAGGATTTAAGAAGCAGGTATGGATGGGGTGGTGGCACAGACCTGTAATCCCAGTGACTTTGGAGATGCTGGCAGGAGGACTCAAAGTTCTGAGGCCAATCTGGGCAATCTGTCAAGGCCCCATCTGAAAATTTAGAGATAGAATAAGATGGGCTGGGGATATAGCTGAGTGACAAAATGGTTCAATCGCCAGTGCCTTAATAAAAAGCAGCAGCAGGTGTGAGTGGCTCTGATGCCCAATTCTACCACTTCTCACCATGACTTGCCACTGCTGCAGAGCTCTGCAACCTCGAGAACCACCTGTTCCGCACAGCCTCCAAAGGCATGTGAAGGGCCAAATGTGATCCAGGTTCCTCAATAAAGGTCAATCCTTTATCATCCTTGCCTCACCCTTCATCACCACCCCATGCACCAGGGAAAAGGAACATGACTTTAAGGGGTGCAGAAAGTCACTCTCCAGAGAATGAACCAGAGATGCTTATCTCAACACCTGTGGTCTGACCTTCTCTTGTATGAAAACACCTATGGCCAAGCCTCTGTACACACTGGCACATAAATGTTGACTAAACACTTATGACCATCACCTAAATAGCCAAGATTTATTATAGGAACAAGACAAGCAGCTTACCTCTAGGAAAGGGGCAGGAGATCTTAATCTAAACCAGTGTTATCTCTTGTGCCAACTGTTACTAAGGGCTCTGTTCAAAAGGGTGTTGAGTGCGCTGTGTTTCTCTAGCAGCATCTGGGCAACCTGGAAGAGGTGATGGTGCAGGGGGGCTGTGTTAGTATGGGCTGCTGCCATAAATCCCTCAAATTATATTCTGCTCTGCCCACCCTGGATCTTTGCCACCTTACCCACAGCTGGAGGAAGAACCTTTCCCAAGGCCACAAGAGGCCAGGACCTACAGAAGTAGACCACATGTAGAATTCTTCCAGTGGGGGGGAAAAATAAAAAACCTACTCGCACCCCGAACCTACACATCCATACTCATGTTGCATCTCCTCCCTGCCAACACTCCACGAGGTAATGAACCCCATCTCCCTTACAGTAGACATTCTCCCCATTTTTCATTTGCCCTACCCTGACAGAACACTAGCATTCAGAGCAAAGCAAGATACAGAGGAAGATACTGCCCTCAGGATCACCTCAGAGTAAAGAGACAAGCAAAGCACCAACTTCCATCCAGTCTGATTAGCTCTATGGGGGGAATACAGGCAGAGAACACTCCTGGCAGAAGGTGATGGCCACTGTCAAGACTCCACACCTAACCCACTACTCCTGGGAGTCAAGTCCACATTCTTCCCTCATGTAACACAACAACCTGCCCTGGGCCAGGGAAAAGAGCCAATGCATTCAATTAGATGATGCCAGCATCCCACCATCAAAAACGGGGACAGAGAGGTGTGGGAAAGCTCCAGGGTTTGGCAAGGACAGAAGTGGACCCTCCAAACACGGGGATACGCTTTCAGCGGTTCCTTTTCCTGCACTACCAATGACCAGGGCACAGGCAGCCCATGATCACTTTCGAATACAGGGGCAGAAAAGGGCAGAGAAGGTGAGAAAGGAGGCCGTGGCCACCATCTTGGGAAATGACCTCAACTGGAAAGAGACCAGCAACAAGGAAATGCTCACATTTGCAGTAGTAATCCCAGAAGTTGCTTCTGACTGATATCAGATACATAATCCCTATCTTACACAACAGAAGGACCTTTCTTATTTGGAGAGTCTTCTGTTTGACTCTTGTTGTTGGCTGGTACGGGTTAAGTTTATGCATGCAGGATAAGATGACAGCTGTTAGGACTGTGCTCTACTGTGCTGCTGTCCCAGCCCAGGCCATTTTCCATGTGTTTGACACTGGTCTCCAGTTTTAGCAAGCCCTGTGCCCTTTGTTTCTTCCCCTGCATTCAAAGTGATTACAGGCTGCCTGTGTATTGATCTTTGGTAATATAGGAAAAGTCTCAAGGTGTCCTCATGTGCAGAGGGTCCACTTTTTTCCCTTCCAGAAGCCATAGCCTTAGTGGGATAGTGGCAGTTACTTGAGCCTATGCTAGAGCTTTTGGTGCATAACCACCAGAGACTGTGCTTCCCCAGGTGTTTTCCTTTTGGTGAATATCATGGTTTCTTGGACATTTTGTAAGCAGTGCCAAGTGGGCTGATCCTGTGCTGGCTTCTTGTGTCCTGAGGGAGTGCCATGTGATTGCTGTGAGAGAGAGAGGTAAACAGGTAGGTAGATGTCTATCTGTCCCCTGCAAGAGCAGGGATTGTGAAGTTCTAGGTAGGTGGTACCCTGCCTAGCTCTCTGGAATGAATGTTCTCTGCAAGCTTCGAGGCTGGCAGTGTTTAGGTGGTCTGGAGCAGGGAATGAGAACGCCAGGTCACACTGCTTCCTTTTCTCTGAGCTCTTTTCCCTTGTCTAGCAGGACAGGTCTGGGCCTTCTTCCTCCTTTGTAGAGCTGCTGCAGAGAAGGTGCTTTCAGAACTTGATTAGGGTCTGGGAGTCCCTAGGTGAGATGTTGAGAGGAAGGCAGCAGTGTGTTGGGATGGACAGACCTGTGTTTAACTTAATTTCCAGTGACCAGCTCTGGTCGTCAGCGTGCCTCAGTGGAAATACTGTCAGATTTTCGATTCAGTACCACTCATACCCAGTCTCTGGCTTGCAGTCTTATAATTTCTACCAGTCTTCCTGTCACTTCTGAGAAGTGGAGGGCAAAAGGGGACCCATACCTGTGTTGTGTCTGTTGACACCTCAGACACAACACAGGTATGCCAGAAGCCAGGTGCAAAGAGGCATCTAAAATTGGCAAGAAGGAGCATTTTAAAAAGTCAGGAGTGGTGACGCATGCCTGTATCAGCAGCTCAGGAATCTGAGGCAGGAGGATCTCAAGTTCAAAACCAGTCTCAGCAACTTAATGAGATCACGTTTCTAAATAAAACATAAGGGCTGAGGATGTGGCTCAAGGGTTAAACTCCAGTTCATGCCCCAGTACAAAAAAAGAACAGCAGTGAACCCTTGAGTGTGGACAATCCACATTCAGCAATTCTTCTCCGGGCACCATAAAAGAAAGGTACCGGCAAGCCCAAATCATTTTCAGATACAGGGGCAGAAAATGGCAGGTGAGCCCAAAGAGAAGCCCACATTAGGATATTAGCTCACACAAACAGTCCAAGGAGGAGAAAGCAACCCATTCAAGCCCAGGATCCATGGAGCAAAAAATTAAACAATTCTACCCACCCCCATCAAAAAAGCACAGAGAAAGATCACTTTCCATCAAAATGCTTAAAACTAATCACTCAAAGCACAAAATTAGTTATCTGCATTTAGGCAGGCCTGAGGGCTCAAAAACAAGAGCAGTCAGAGGCTCTCTGCCCTCATGGAACTTTGGCAGCTTCCCTTCTTTACAGAAAGTAAAGCTCAGGAAAATGAGGAAACTTAGCCAAGATCTGACTTTCTACTCCTCAAATTCAGCCTCCTCCCTTACCCCAGGCTTCACTCGGCACAGGGGCTTTGCCACGCAGTTCTCAGAACACTACAGAGCTCTACCACCTTCCTCTCTGCTGGTGTCCACAGAAGGCAATCCAGAAGTCACCCCTGGTTTCTAGTGCCCATGAATAGCAGTACTTACCCGGGGACATCCTCCCCCTGGACACTGAATGCCCCGGAGGGAATCCAGAGAGAAGAGGGCGCTGGCTGCTGCAGAACCAGCAAGAAACATCCAGGAGAGAGCTTTCATGTCTGCAGGGGAGGCGTTCAACAGCGAGGCCTAGGCACAAAAAAAAACACAGGAAAGGGCTTTCGGTGCACAGCAAGGACTTAAACCTCCACCAACCAGTGTCCAAAATGGGTTTTAGGTCTAGCCTTAAAAAGCGGCCGAGGGGAACGTGAGCCAACGTTCCTACCACGTGGCACAAAGACTGAGCCTGTCTAGACGACTCAAAGAGCTTCGGGCTTTCTAATGCCAAATCGGAGATAGAGGACCGGGTGTGAAAAACCCAGAAGCTCTGCACCCTCTGCTAGGCTCAAGGCCCGAGGCAACCCTACTCCGCACGAGGCTGGGGGCGGCCTAGGCCGCTGCCTTCCGTGGGCCTTTTCCAGGGACATGGGTAATAGGGCTACACACGCACCGTGTGAGACGGACTCCGCCTGACGCTGACCCCCAGAGGCCTCTCCGCTCCTTGGAGCCTCGGTTTCCTCTAATGGAGCGAGAGGCGCAGACCACATACCCCGCAGTAAACTCACCCCGACGCCCTGGCGCCGGGAAGCGGCGGAGACAGGGCAGACAGCTGGGGAAGTTGCAGGATGCTTGGCGATTTCGAGAGACGGCGAGAGAGCGCGCGGGATGCAAAAAAGAACAAGCACGCGACAAGACTTCCCTTTTCTTAGCCCGCGACGGCGGAAATAGAGCTACGCGCGCGGCGTGCGGCCTAGAGCGGCACTTCCACAGGGCGGAACCCGGGAGCGCAGATTTATAGCGCCCCTGGCGGAGAGGAGGTCCGCTTCTGACTGGAAGGATCGAGATAGTTTTCCAAAGTGGCCTGGAAGTTTTGAAGAAATCATCCCTTATATACTTTGCCTTTCTGTTTGTTCTGAAGCTATTCCTTGTTCACTGATTTGTCATTAATCTGTAGGAATGGTCAGCCTTCTTCAGTAGGCTCTGTTACTAGGTTAAGTTTGCGAATGTGTTTAGTTTCTAATTCTTTCTGACTCCCTATCCAGTGTACATCTGCCTGATTCACCACTGTATTTTAGCACTAGTTCAGTGGCTGCCACAGTAGAAAGAATGAATGAGTTCTACCCATGTACTTCTTTGTACCAGAGGGTGAGAAGGAGAGGAGTCCAGAGAGGCAGGCAGGGAATGAGTTCTTTACCAAACTTCGTCCTAAAAATACATGGGATTGGCAGGCAGAGAAAGCCCTTGAAGCAGTAGAGACCTGACCAGATTCTCACAGCCTATCAAAGACAGGCTTGGGAGTGGGCCCATGCCCCCAAATTCTCACAATAATGAATTCTGCCTGTGTCCTGGGCCAGGTGTGCCTCTTGGACATGGGCAATGCTGCCCTTGGCGCTGAGGAGGAGGGGGCCTCCCAGGAAGATTTCTGAGTTCACTGTCACAGGGGAGAAATCCAGAATTGACCTACACAACCACGAGGGAAATGAGGATCATGGAGTGTGAGAACACCACATATTCTATACCTGGGAGAAGTCCATGGGATTCTGAGACTGTGAGAATATTGGACATGTGGGGAGGAGCCTTGAGGTGCTGTGGCTGAGAGGACACTGGACAAAGGGCTCAGGATGCATCCTTGCGGCTGCACAGTCCTCTCCTGCCTCCTCCTCTTGCTCCCACTCTTCGTGCACCCCCTCACTAGTAACCAGCCTTGGTTTTTGATTCTGAAAAATGGGTAGTCATGGCTCCTCCCTTGTAACTCTGCTGTGAGAATTAAGCCAGAGGTCCCTGTGGGGTTTCTTTTTTTTTTCTGTGGTCCTGGGGATTGAATCCAGGGTGCTGTACCACAGAGCAATAGCCCTAGCCCTGTGGTATTCTTCGTGAGGCAGAGAAATCGTGCTTTGTTTGACAAATTTAAGGTCTCCCTGTCCAGAAGAAATATAATGCAGGCTACATATGTAATTTTACATTTTCTAAGTCACCTTTAAAATTTTTTTAACTGAAATAAATTTTAATTATGTATTTTTATTTAACCCCATACTGTAACTAAAATATTATGGCAGCATGTAGCAATAGTTTAAAATTACAAATGAGATATCTACCATTCTTCTTCTTGTATGAAGTCTTTGGAATGTGGTGTGTTCACATTCACAGCATATTGCATTTCAAATTGGCTGTATTTTCAGGGTAGGGGAGCTCCACATGGCTTGTGGCCCCTGTCCTCATCAGCTCAGGTGTGAGACACTCTGGCTTTGGTCAGTCCCTTAGAGCTAGAAGAGAAAAGCAAGCAGGAAGCCGAGAACATGTCCTTCCCATTGCCCCTGCTTCTGAACCTGGACACCCTCCGAGGGGCTTGCCCTCCTGCCTAATTAGACTGAGGCCCCTTTGCTCTCGACTGGAGAGTAAGGCACAACTGCCCTCAGAAAGCTGGGGATGGACAGAGCCACGATTCAAACCTACATTTTCTTTTGCATTACTCATCCCCATAATGCCAGGGAAGTCATCTTGGCTGGTCCATTTCTGCATTCCTAGTGCCTACAAGGAGGCTGAGAATCTAAGAAGAGTAGTCGAGGCTTGTTAATCATGGTGTGACAAGGATGTCAAAATGGATGTTTCAGCTGATGAAGCACCTGAAATTACGATTTGATAGGCAATAAAGAGTTGGATAGGCATGTGTGTGAGTGCGTGTGAGTGTGTGTGTGTGTGTATTGTATAGTGAGCAGGTACTTTACCACTGAGTTACACCTCCAGCCCTTGCAAGACTTGTTCTTACCCAATAATGGTCAGAAGAGTTACGAGACCACCCTGATGTTTTTGTAGGGACTGGAAAAAGACACTTCTGTTCAGCAAGTATAAAGAGACACTTGTAAATGATTACATATCAGAATAACTCCTGCATCGCATTAATGAAGGATTTGGCTACAGCTGAGAAGGCAAAATTCTACCATCTGGGAATCTGTGACCTCATAGTGGCTGAGGGATCCTCAGGGCCTACAGCCCCTTCCCTTGAGGAGATGGAGTTGGGGCTGACTGGACAGATTGTTCCAAGGAGGTGTTGCCTAGGGTCTAAATGAGAAGTCAGCAACTAGCCACATTGGGCCTACAGGAGCCCTAACCCTCTCCCCACACCACAAATGGAAACCATGCTGAATATCTTGCTGGGTCTATTCATTGTCCTGCTCTGCTTGTTTATGATCCTCTGTTACTGCGCGTATCAGCAGCAATAGACTTGGTTTCCTGAAGTCTGGGACTAAAACCTGATGGACACCTTGGCCAGCCCAGTCACCCAGGGCAATTCAGCTGCTCTTGATCTGCCCCATAGACTACTATATACGTTTGTGCGGGTTGTGAACTGCACAATTTCTGGGAGCACTATTCACATCATAGTCTGTGGTTGAGAAGCAGCGATGCTGGAGGAGATTGGCTGAGCTGATGACTCGGAACATCTTTGGCTACAGGGAAAGAAGATATTTTCCTAGTAAGCCCCCCTCAGTGCAGCAGAGTGACCCTCTATTACATATTTCAACACATAAATAGTGAGACCTTTTAATAAAGACCCTTGAGCACTTTTCTCTCCAATTCATGAAGTCAAACAGAAGATAATTAAACCTGGTATAGTGAAACCTGGGCAGGGCCACTAGAAAAAGAGAAGGGTTTGCAAGCAGTGGGGAGACTTTCTGGGAAATACTTCCCTTCACTCCTTTGACACATTCTCGTTTCTCAAAGTTACTTTCTGAGAGTCAGTCGTTTCCACTCTTTCAGCAGCTCTGGGAGGAATCAGTCACCTTGGAGGTCCCTGTATCATCCTCAGAGAAAAGGAGAGTGAAACACTATCCCTGAAGCACCCATCTCCACTCCTCAGAATCTAGGGCACATAAGGGAATAATGGGAGTAGGTCCAGGCCAGAATGTCCAGATGCAGACATTATGTCGAAGGCACTGGCTTTCTCTTGTGTCTGATGGGATTTAGGATAAGTTACTGCTATCTGCAGAAAGCTACTTTCTTGCATGCAGGCCAAGTTCCTTGAATTGTGGTCATACAATTGGACAAAGCAGGCTAGCTGATGCTGATGCTGTCACTGCTTCTGTAATCTAGTAATCTAATCTATAAATGCCCCCTCCCTGTGGTGACTGGTCCAGAGGGCAGTGTTCAGCTGGCTCCTGCTGGACACAGCATTATGGGGATGGAGGGACTATTGTCTTATAAAGGCACCAGAGGCACTGTGTGAAGCAGGTGTACCTGTCCAGCCCCTCTACCCTGAACTTTCTGGCGAAGCACCCATCTGGCCTGCTTCACAGGACCTTTCTGACAAAGTATCTGTCTAGCATGTCACCACTGGATCTTCCCTGTAGTCATTTTTCAATAAACTTTCTGTCTCACATCCCATTTCTGTGTTTCTTCTTTGGACTCTCGGCAACCTATCCTCTCCACTGGTGTAGTACAGCTGGGCTACACCAGTAGTCCATTATCTAACTTATCTTGAGGGTGTATTGGGAGGTGTTCAGTGTGTAAATGTCACCTCTCAGGGGCCCTGTGGCCTGAGCTTGGGATGCTTAGCCAGATCCTGGCTCCTGCCTGGTAAAGCTCACCCAGCAGGGCCTGCCCTGTGTGACGGTGGGCTTTGCAGGAGGGTGCCTGAAACCCCTGAAAGGGAGGAGGGACAGTTATGTTAGTCAGCTATCCATTCCTGTAACAAAATACTTGACCTGAAAGTATCAGCTTAGAAGGAGGATAGATTTATTTTGGCTGACAGTTTCAGAGGTTTCAGTCCATAGTCACTTACTCCCATTGATTCTGTGGCAAGGTAGTACATAGCTGCTCACCTTATGGTGGCCAGGAAGGAGGTGAGGGGCAAGAGGAGAAAATCAAGAACAAAATATACCCTTCAAGGATAGGCACTCCAGTGACCCACTTCTTCCCAATAAACCCCACCTCCCAGTGTTTCCACCACTGCCCAATAGCCCATGAAGCTATGGATCCATCTGTGGACCCATCCACTATGAATTTGTTCCCTCACGATCTAATCACTTCCCCAAGGCCCATCTCTGAACACTGCTGCATTGAGAATCAAGCCTTGAACACAAGAGCTTTGGGGGAGTCTTTAAGATCCAAACCTAGGGCTGGGGTTGTGGCTCAGCGGTAGAGCGCTCACCTAGCACGTGTGAGGTCCTGGGTTCGATCCTCAGCCCACATAAAATAAAATAAAGATATTATGTCCATCTACAATTAAAAATAAATATTAAAAAAAAAAGATCCAAACCTAATAACAGGCATCAGGGCTTGGGCATCAGGGCTTGGTGTGGTGAAGCACTCCTCTAATCCCAGCGGCTCAGGAGGCTGATACAGAAGGATGGCAAGTTCAAAGCCAGCCTCAGTAACTCAGTGAGGTCCTAAGCAACTCAACCTTGTCTCTAAATGAAACATAAAAAGGGCTGAGGATGTGGCTCAATGGTTAAGCACCCCTGGGTTCAATCCCTGGTACAAAAAAAAAAAAAAAAAAGAAAAAAGAAAAAAAGAAAAAAAAAGAAAGAAATTAACTAATTAATTTAATATTATCAAATACATTTTCTGCATCTATTAAATTGCTCTTGGATTATGTTATGGGTTTGGTTTTTGACTCTGACACCTACTTTTAGGAGAGACAACCTGCTGTAGGCCCTGAGCATCTCTGCATATCCTTGCTGGCCATGCCCTGAATGCAAAGCCATGACTAGAGTTTATCTGGTTGTG